AGACGTACCTACGATTCTGATTTTGGTGGCTCGTTCACCCAGAGCATCTGGAGCTCTGTACCGTGGAGCCTAGCAACCTCCATGAGACCGTCTATGTTGTCTGTCTGTAACCGCAACTCAAGCAAGTTTTCCAGCCTACATCACTGCCATCTCAGTGTAAGTAAACAATCTTTTAAACTACCGCTAAGCGTTTGTGCCTAATTCCAGCTTGACGGCCTTCCCTCTCCGACCCGGCGTGCCCGGGCTGCCGGCCACAGCCCGCGTGCAGCACAGAAAAGGGCTCGGGTCGCTCCCGGCCTGCACAGATGCATCCATATTATGAGTAGAGAGGTTATTGACATTAATACCGCCAAATAGCAATATATCAATACGCACCAGAAGATATAAGGTTTTAATGAGGAAAGGCATATTATTAATTCCTGTTCTGCAGGTAAAGTAACAGCCACTGGTGAGTACGCTCGCTCAGTTTTTACCTCTTTGTCGCCTGATAGGTTTTCTTAATCAAGAAAATTGTTATACCTTGATGTGTAGCACATTTACATTTTGTTACAAGTTTATTCTTCTGGGGCTAAATCTTTTATTTATATTTGAAACAAAACGCCTTATTTTACAGGGTAAGGATGGGAAAGGAAGCCTCAAATTGTGAAAATTATCAGTGCTGCATAGCTTTGGCAACTATTGCTAGCTTTACTCTTTTACCCTTCACAGTTTTGCCTTCATAAAGTTGATAGAATTTGACCCTTAAAATCTGCTTCAACCAAAAATGTTGTTTTCTTTGCCAGGCAAGGCTTCAGGAGCCTTGAAAAAAGCCCAGCTTTCCAGATGTGTGTTTTGCTGGAATAGAGCCCTAAAGAGCATATGTGAAGATAATATTTATAAAGCACATTGTCTTTTGGACCCTGAAGTATTAAAGAGCAAAATTTCAAAATAAATAGGAATTTACAAAATAGATATAAACCTCATTTATAATGTGTTTTCAAAAAATACTGTACAGGTTTTCACTGTTGGATATTGCATGGAAATATATTTTTTGTTGATATTTGGCAGAAATTTTGGGTTGTTTTACTACTATCAACATATGTTTTTGTTGTGTCGGATTTGCTCATTTGAGCTTCATATATTAAAAAACAATGTGCTTGTAGTTGCTGTCTCCAATGATAATTTCATCAATGTGTTGCTACCATATTAGAGGTGAGGTTGGTAATAAATAGAATTATGCTATATTGAGGTACCAGTCATTAGCAGTGCTGCAGGGAAGGCATAGGGTAGATTTGCAAATGCCATCACCCCATAAAGACTATTATTTATTTCTAAATCATGAGAGAGAGTGTACTTTCCAAAGAAAATAGTTCCTTATTATTAGTCAAAGGTATTTATTTAAAATGTTATGCCTGTTCCTGAGATTCCCAGGAAGGCTGAAGGCATACTTGAATACAAAGACAGGCCTCGAACAGGTTAATTTTAATATCCATTTTTAATGTGGATTTAACCAGTTGGAACTTAGAACTGTGAAAGGCATCCACTTTTTCAAACACTTATTGTTATAACCCACTTGTAAACTGAGAGTTGAGTTTACTAACCTATGATGTGGTACTCCCTCCTACAGTAGTATACATTTAGCTTATTTTCACAAAAATTATCTAAATATTTAACTAAAAAACATCTTGAAATTAAATGGGTCAAGTTAGGTGTAGTCTTGTAGATACATCACTGATCTTTCAGGTGCTAGGCTACAGTTCAAGTCAAGTTCTTTGACTCAGATTAAGTTAATTTAGTGGTCACAACTCACATAGTTTAAAACAGTGGAATTTTATGCTTGAGAGAGGATAGAAACAGAGTTGGCTTTAATGATGAATCGTTTTTCACCCTTAGGTGGTCTTCTCAGGCTTGAAGTTATTTGGAGGCAGCATTGGGAAATTTAAATGTGCCTACTTATGTTGTCCTTGGCTTGTGAATTAAAAAAACACACAAAAAAGCTCTTGTTTATTTCTGATATTCCAGTTCTCATGCTCAGGAATTTTCCTCAAAACTAATCAGAAAATTAGATTGAGATAAATAAAATTAAAAAAATATTATGGCTTTCTTCACTTTAACCAATTTTCTGATTTCTATACTGCTTTACTATTAGCTTCATACCTACCTAACTTGCTCATCAGAAATTCATTTGTAAGCAATTTTTATGGTTCACATTCAGCAAGAGAAACATAAAAATATCCTATCTCTGGATGGTTGCGTGATTCATAAAGGTTGAAATCTGTCTGAAGAAGCTTCATGTTATGCATCTTGAGTTGAAGTCTACCTTCAGTCTGTCTTCCTCCAGGTGGGAGGAGAATTTGTGACTCCTGCTTGCAGGATAAAGCTTTACTTGAGTAACAGTTATACACAAATTAATCTTTTTTTTTTTTAGAGGAACTTACAGAACACCCATCAATGTCTTGTCTGAGTACAGAATTAAGTTTATATAGAGGACATAAGAGACAATGTGATAATTTTTTTCTCATTATGTTTGTCAAGTCTACAAAACTTTTTTTGATTTTATTTTAATTATTTTTAATGGCAAGACATCTCAAACAATAAGCCATAGCAAACCAATATTATTTTGGAATGCAATGATGCATAGGTTGTCTTGTGAGTAAGGAATAGGCTCTTAAAATGTTGATTTTTCTGTCTTTTATGATCTAGATTAGAATTACAGTTGGTTATGATAGAGCCACCTGACAAAATAAACCTGATCGGATGGTGTATGAATAGAGACCTCTGGAATCACAAAAAGTGTAATGAAGTTTAAAAAAATGACATATGCATTTTATTTATTAAATATAGAGAAGCACAGAATGTAATACCAATTCTAGTAATTTTTAGAGTCTTTAGGAGAACTTATATTATGTATTTTATTGACAGTATAATATTTTGGTATATTATTTTAACTTCTACAGAGCTCCTTTTATGCAAATACCTTTCTAGATGCAGATGTCCGGTTAAAGAAAATTACTCTTTTCTTTGTCTCCTTTCTCCTACTTTTTCTTCTGTTTTCTTTTGATATTTAGACAGTCTATGCCAAGATATTTACATTTTTTTAAGGTAATTGACAACCTTGGACCTCTGGAGTGGATTCTTAATACACCCAGTCATCACAGAGTTCATCATGGTAGGAAGTACTTTATCTTTTGATTTTTTTTTCCATGTTGGGTTTTTCACTGTCATCATTTATATTATACTGATAAAATGCAAAAAGGATTAAAACTATTATTTATGGGGGTTTTAAATTATAAGAGGAACAATTGTAATCTGTTTAATCATTTTTATTATAACTCTTTGCATTTTACCTCTGATACTGAAATTATGAACTTTTGATCTCTACATAGATGTGAATTATTTTGGAAAATTTGAACAAAACAACTCAACACTTGTAAGAATGAGAGAGTAATGAAAAAAAAACAACTTTACCCATTCTTAAAAATGTAGCTTACATCTTAGCTCAAATTCAGCTGTTCTTACACCTTAGGATCTAACACTGAATATCAATATGAAACTATTCCTTTCTGAGAAGTATTCTCATTTGTTCCAGTAAATTTTTTGGATTTCACTGAACTGAATTATAGAAAGACTGCTTTGAACACATGCAATACAATTGATATATCTTTTTCATATTTTTTGCCAATATTTGGAATGGGGGTAGGTTGTATAATATGCATGTGTTTGGTTAACTTAACAAAAAATGTGAACAAATTTAGTCAATAAGGCAGGACTCCCTAGCTGCTATTGGCTTGTGTGCTGGGCTTCTTGTAAAGAACAAACATAATAAATAGAAAAATAATAATGAGATGGAGAAACTGAATTTACTAATTAAAACAGACTTAAACACAACTGTATATGAAAAAGATGTTTTAAATATTTATTATATTTGCCATGTGTTAAGTGTTTATGGCACTATGCAAACTCAAAAGGCAGGGGGTTCACTAAGTTTTCTAATTCTCCAACTTTACACAAGTACTTGTATTCTCAGAGAGCTAGATTCTGCTGCTATTTATACCATGATTGATCCAGATTCACAGATTTAACTGAAAAATAACTTTGCACGTTCGTAATAGCACATTTTTTGCTTAATGGGACTGACATTCATGTGAGTAACGCGACAAGATAATGGATAGAAGGGTTCATGGTGTTCACAAGAAAGTAAAAAATAGAAATACGTCTGACTTACATGAAGTCAGAATTGAGTTACATTTAATAGTAAGAGGTAGAACAAAGGGGAGATGTAATAGATGTTTGGTAGTAAAAGGTTGGACATGTCTTGTAACTATTAGTATGATATTCTTCCCTAATTACTCACCTCCATAGTTCAGTTGAAGCTAATGTAATTCACATAATACTTCTAATATGTACAATCACTGAGCTCCGAAACCTTTTCTTTCTTATTACAGGGAGAAATCTTTACTGTATTGATAAAAATTATGGTGGCACCCTCATTATCTGGGATAGAATTTTTGGTAAGTGGGATTAGTTATGTCAATTAATGTAGCAAACACAAATGTTTATGTTCTTATGCTTGATTGTATTTTTCCTCTCCCCAGGAACATTTGAGGCAGAGAAAGAAAAAGTTATATATGGCCTAACACACCCTATAAATACATTTGAACCCTTCAAGGTCCAGGTAATTCAGTTTTGCTACTAACATTTTACTTTTAACATTACCTTGTATTCAAAAGAATGCCATTTTTGATACATGGGTAAATGAGGCTGCTCTGTAAGTTGTTTTATAATGACTTGAAGTGTTGTACCTTTGGCAAGGTAAGATTTATACCATTTCAAGAAACTACAAAGAAAATATTTGTGCAAATTTCAAATTATTTGGCTGTTCATATTTTCATACCATGGAATGTTTAGGTGTTCATATGAGAGGGAACTTTGGCAATACTTATTGATGGTAAAAATACAGCAGGCCAAAATTATTTGAGCTGTAACTATCAAAGCTAAATGGACCATTGGTTGGACCCCACATGGCACTTGTTATGATTTAATGTATCATATAAATACTACTAATTTGGGGATCAAGCCTGGGAGGTTTGACATTCTGAGGGAGGTTTAGCATGCCTTTGAACTTAATAGGAGAACCTCACAAAACTTGTATCATTAATTGCAAGTACTTTTTACTATGGCAAGGGATGTCATCGCTTTGATTCCCTTCTGATCCCCACTGACTTTAACGAGAGTGATATCAAGCCTGCAAAAATTTAGGATCTGTTTCAGTACTGTTGAGCTCCCTTTGATTTTTCACAGGAATTGTAGGCACCAACAGATGTTACACTTAAAAGTTTGGGAAGTTAGATCAGATAAAAAATGGCCACCCTGTCTACTTCAGTGATTCCTCACTTGAATCCTCCCTTTGGCAAATTAATTGCAGAATAAATTTAGACCAGATACAGATATTCTCTGGATCCGATCTACAATTACAGGACTTACTTCAAGCAGCACGTTTGTAGATCAGATGCTAGTTTTACCGATGTTTGCTGGTGCTTGGGGCCTGATTGAAGTAACTCAGGGTGGGGGGAAGGGGTGGGCAGGACTGGGGGGCTAGTGGGTCAGTGGGTGTGACAGGAGAGAGCCTAGTGGGTCTGCAGGGGATTGGTGGGGTCTGGGGCTGGTTTGGCAGGATCAGTGGGTTTAATGTGTCCAGAGGGTGGGAAGAGGGCTGTTTGGCAGGATCAGATAGGCTAGCAGATCTGTGGGAGGGAGGGGAGTGGGCTGAGGCAAGTGGCTGGGCTTTCCCATTCTCGGGGCTGCTCTCTGAATGTGTACAGTAGATTGGCATGTTAGATTGGGCTAACCCGTGCCCAATCTAACAGTGCACTTCAGATGCACTAAGTTAGATGGGGCAGCTATTTTTTTGCCCGATCTAACATCCCAAACTTCTTAATGTATCATCTGTACTTACCCTATGAGTACTCGGAACTTCTGAAAATCAGTTATTTGGGAGTTACAATCAGATTAAACTATATTGTTTTGCAAAACTCCTATTTTTTTCTAACAAATGAAGAATAAGTACTTGTCCTGTCTTCACAGTTGCATCACTTCACCTATATATGGGGTGTATTTTGGGCCACACCTGGTTTCTCCAATAAGCTGTCTGTCATATTCAAAGGGCCAGGCTGGGGACCAGGAAAACCAAGACTTGGCCTTTCTGAGGAAATCCCAGTGGTAAGTAGAACATATTGGGCATGTCTACACATTACTGTATGATGATGTTGTTATGGGGCCATGCTTTAGTATTTCCTTTGGAATCACGGCTCAGAACGGGAAGTTACTGCACTGTACGCATGGCCACTGCATCACAATAGCTGCGCACTATACTGGGGGACTGCACCACTACAGCAACATAGCTTATAAAACTAAGTGATTTCATTTGCTTGCTTATCTGCATGTACTCATGTTCAGTTGTTCTATCTCCTTCCATGTCTCTCTGTCTCCCCCCACCACACATACACACAGAGTCTGTTTTAGTGTAAATATAGTTTTATTTATATTTCACAGTAGACTGCACACATACTTGATTTTGATAACAGCTCTCTATTACTTTTCTCTTTTCCATATTTTTAAGTGACTGTTTGTACCATTAAATATATTTCTTTGTGCTGGTAATTAACACAGTTAATACTAAAGAGTAATATGCCGGGGTAGATAACTAATGAGGACTATTATCTGTGTTGCTGTATGCAGATCACTGGAAAAGAGGTTCCCTTCAACCCAAAATTGCCAGTTCATCTTTGTGTCTATGCAGTTATACATTTTTCCTTGATTGTGACATTGTATATTGACCTCTTTGCTGCTGCAGCTGTAAGTAACTTCCACATTTATAAAAATCTTTTGTCTGGGGTTAGGAAAAATACCTGCTGTGCAATACTTTTAATGTTGAAGTTAAGACAATAAAACTTAGACATTGAAAGGGCCTGATTTTGACTTATTTTCACAGTGGGAATAACTCCATGAAAATTAATAAAATTGGAACATAGAGTTGGAAAAGACCTCCCAGGCCATTGAGTCTTTGCACCTATACTATTTTTAAACCACTGTGATTGAGATTAGAATCAGGCCCTAAGAAAGGGAAAGATTTCTTATGAATTACAGCATTTACCTTTTAGGCTTTTGGACTTTGAAAACTTTGATAACTGTTCATTTATCTAAAATGATTTTGTTTGCCTAACCTCTTTAAAGGGTCAGACCTCATTAAAGTGCTTCAGGCCAAGCAGGCAAAAATTTCAGACTCAGAAATCGCTGGTCTCTTTCAGAAAGGGCTGAATTTGGGAAAAAATGTTGCGACATGCCTATTGTTGCTTGCCACCATGTTGTATACCTCAGAATTGTGTAACTATCAATGTAGTACAATCTGTGTAGTATACAGAGAAGAGATTATGCCACTTAGAAATTGGAATTGAAGAAAAACTATTTTATGCAGTATTATATTACCGTTTATATATAAAAGTCAGTTTAATTCTGCTCTGAATAATTTTAACTTATTCTTCATATGATGTGGACCTCATTTGAGGAGTCACATGTATCTCTGTCACCTGGAGACTGAAGGTAATGTAGCTAGTAAGCTATCTGTGATACCATATCTGAAGACAAGGGTCACAACTCTGCAGAACTGAGGCCAGCACACACATTTATATTGTATATGAGAGATCAGTTTCCAGTGTTCCTGTATAGTTGATATTCAAGCTATGAATGATATTTACACCCAGATTTCCTGGTTCTTCTATATCGTCAGTAAATCTTACTTATGTAGGGGTCCTTACATATTTTTTCCGTATCAGCAAGGATAACAGAGTTTTGTACATGATTTTGCCTGAGTTAACTTTTTTCTGGGAAGGAGGAATATATGGTACATGCCATTTTCTCTACTGTCATTTATAGCTGCAGCTCCTTAATTGTTGTTGTAGTAGAAAAAAGGAAGAAATAATAATAATAATAATAGCAACAACTTTAATATTATTGAATTCCCACAAGTGTACAAATGAGCCACCCTGAAGAGTCATAATTGTGAATTTAAAATTGCAGAATTATCAGAAAAAAACAACCTGCACAAAACATGAGCTTAAAAGACTGTAGTGACAGAGGGGAAAACATGTCAGAACACAAACCCCAGAGCAGACAAAAAAATCAGTTCTGCATAGAAGACCAATGAAGAATCTGTCCCAAGTTGAAAGCACATATATGAATAACTTCACTTGGCAAATTCGTTATTCAATATCAGCTTTCCACTACAGTGAGTTATGCAGTGGCTATGGCCACAATTGGAACTTTCTGCCCTGCTATGAATTGTCATAACCATGGCATAGCTCCATAAATGGAGAAAGCTAACTGTTTTCCTCATTTTTAGCTATAAGTTCCATTTCATAATAACAATAAGACATTCTAGGCAGCACATAGTTATTACATTTCTCGAGTGATTAGTTACTCAGTATTTGGTCTCATGCTCTGTAAAAGTGTTAAATTTCTCCATATACAAAGGACAACTGTTTACTGTGAGGCAAAATACTCTACATTTTGTAGCTTAAGAAAAGCAAAACAAGAAAAAAATATTAATTTTTCACAAAAGAGCATATAGTATTTATTTCCTTGGTAGCAGTCTGTGCTATATTTGGTGAACAAGAAACATTGCATAGCTCTTTGTAGCAAAATGTGATCCAAGGCTCACTTTGGATCAGCCCTAGAAAGAGTGATAAAATGCAAAGACTCAATAAATTAAAAAAAAAAGAGCAATAGTTTAATAGATACTTGCACTTTGATTTATGTAGTTCATTTAACACTTTCTGTAGTTTTGTCTTAAACGCTGTTGGATATACAGGATAATCTGTGATTGACTGATTTTGATCAAACCAAACGAAAGGCAAAAAAAATGTCCCAAAGTTGCAAACACGATTATATTCTGAACCAACAGGAAATCATTGTGGTATCTATATCCCTGTATATTATTAAAAATTTACAGAAGTTTTAGGAGTGTTCAATTAAATCCCTGTACACAGGGAAATCTAACAGAGCTAACCTCTTAGGCTAGGGACAGACATTAACCATAAACCCGTTTAAGTGATCAGAAACTGGTTTAAACCTGTAACAGAACAGATGTTCAGTGCACATAAACCAGTCTGAAAATGGATGAAACTGGTTTGAGATAAACCTGGTTGAATATAGTATCAGACTTAACTGTTTTTTATCGGGCGCTGGTCAGACCGCAGTTGGAGTACTACGTGCAATTCTGGGAGCCGCACTTCAAGAGGGATGCGGATAACCTGGAGGGGGTCCAGAGAAGGGCCACTCGTATGGTTAAGGGCCTGCAGACCAAGCCCTACGAGGAGAGACTAGAGAAACTGGACCATTTCAGCCTCCGCAAGAGGAGGTTGAGAGGCGACCTTGTGGCTGCCTATAAGTTCATCACGGGGGCACAGAAGGGAATTGGTGAGTTTTTATTCACCAAGGCGCTCCCGGGGGTTACAAGAAATAATGGCCACAAGCTAGCAGAGAGCAGATTTAGACTGGACATTAGGAAGAACTTCTTCACAGTTAGAGTGGCCAAGGTCTGGAACGGGCTCCCAAGGGAGGTGGTGCTCTCCCCTACCCTGGGGGTCTTCAAGAGGAGGTT